CCTCCAGAGGGACTGGCTGGCCCCTGTGTGAGACGGGAGGCTGGACTGGAGGGACCCTCCCTGGTCTGACCCAGCAGGGCTCTTCTGGTGTCCTTATATCAGGGGAAGGCCTCGGCCTCTCTGCCCTGTTGCTGGCCCTCCAGAGGGACTGGCTGGCCACTGAGTGAGACGGGAGGCTGGACAGGAGGGACCCTCCCTGGTCTGGCCCAGCAGGGCTCTTCTGAGGTTCTTATCAGGGGAAGGCCTCGGCCTCTCTGCCCTGTTGCTGGCCCTCCAGAGGGACTGGCTGGCCCCTGTGTGAGACGGGAGGCTGGACTGGAGGGACCCTCCCTGGTCTGGCCCAGCAGGGCTCTTCTGGTGTCCTTCTCAGGGGAAGGCCTCGGCCTCTCTGCCCTGTTGCTGGCCCTCCAGAGGGACTGGCTGGCCCCTGTGTGAGACGGGAGGCTGGACTGGAGGGACCCTCCCTGGTCTGACCCAGCAGGGCTCTTCTGGTGTCCTTCTCAGGGGAAGGCCTCGGCCTCTCTGCCCTGTTGCTGGCCCTCCAGAGGAACTATGGTTAGCCACTGGGTGAGGCGGGGTGCTGGACTGGAGGGACCCTCCCTGGCCTGACCCAGCAGGGCTCTTCTTATACCTTACAAGGCTGGGAAGGCCGATGGGCCTTCTGACTGGCAACTGCGGCCCATCCCATAAAGGCTACAGCTGTAGCCCATGAACATTCTGAAGCCATTCTAACCACGCTGAGAGGCAGGATAGAAAGAAAATGCTATTGTGGGGGTTTGTATAGGGAGTGATGGTCCCTTCAGAGTCTAGATCACTAGTTGTGAAGGACTTTAAAGGTAAGAAACAGCACCTGTACCTGAGCCGTAAAATAAACAGGCATCCAGTGAAGGTGTCTGAGTTGGTTCCCTCTGTCCAAAAGGCTTGCTGCCTCATTCTGAACCTACTGAACTTTCTGAGTTGTCTTCAAGGGGCAGTCCCATGTAGAGTGCATTACAGAAGTCAAGTTGTCTCAAGGCTGCAGAAGCCTAGGTCAGTGTGGGCGGAGCTCCAGATTCCAGAAGAGAAGGCCATCTCTGTGCCAACTCTCAAAGGCACTTTCTGATTCTGTACCTCCCCCTTGTCTAGATGTCTCTGCAGCTCCATCAGCCGCTTACCCATTGCAGTCAGGCCCCACCTGAGGACAGAGACGCTTTAAAAGTTAAATTGGGCAGATCGTGAGAATTTCCTCCCCAGGGCTAAGGCTAAACCGCAACGGGGGGAGAGGGCGCAGTCGCTCTCTGGGTTCGCTGGAGCAGCGCAGAATGTGTCACGGGAGGAAGATCCGGGTTAAACTCCGGGAAGTTCAGAGAGTGGCACAAGCCGTTCGAGAACTTCCTAGGGAGGAGGACGTGTCGCCTGCCTTCTTGGAGGCTGTTTCCGACAAGCGCCTGCCAGGGCTGCTGCTGCTGCTGCTGCTGCTGAGAGGCTGCCCCCTGCCTTGGACTGCCGTGACCCCCGGGCCCCACGCCTTCAGGGAGTTCCAAAAGAGGGTGGGGGAGAGGGAAGGAGCCGGCCCCCCCACCCACTCCCTTCCTCTTCTAGGGGTGTGTCACGTGGACCAGCAGAACAAGGCTGGCTACACGGCCATCATGCTGACGGCGCTGGCTGCCACGCGCTCGGAGAGGGACATGGAGACCATCATGGAGCTCTTGGAAAGGGGCAACGTGAACGCCAAAGCCAGCCAGGTAGGCAGAACCTCAGCGGCCGCCTTTGCTGGGTGGGGGTGCGCCTGCACGAGGGCTGTTCCGGTTCTGCCCAGCTCGCTTGGGCTTGCCAGCTTTTCCACCTGGGAGAGGGGTGCGCGCCCGGCTACCAGAGGTTGGCGCTGAGTCTCTTCTTGGCTTGGCTCAGATGGTTTGTCGTCACTGGAATCTCAGCGTGCATGGCGCACTGAAGTTAGCTCGGTCGAAACTGGCCAAGTGCTGTCTGTGTGTTAAATACTGAGTCCCATGGAGGGTCTCTGGCCCCAAGCCTAGTGATCAGCTCTCCTTTATGAGTGCTTCAGCAAGAACAAAAAGCAAAAAGCCAGGGCGACTGCCCTGTTTAAGTAGCATGCAACTCCACCCACTTCCGCAAACAACTACCAACGACAGCCCGTCGTCAGAACCATTAATTCCCCATTGGCCACCTCCAGTGTCCTGGTGGGCTTTTGTTCTAGAGCTCCAAGCTCAGCCCGTCTCTGGTAGAAACGGTCCTGGGATGTTCCAGTCCCCATACATAACACTGTGCTCCCCTGTAATCTAGGATTCTATAACCGAAATAAACTGGGGTTTGGGATCCTGGCTTACAGGACAAATGCAAGACGGTTCCTTGCCAGGGCAAACTGGTTTGCCACAAGCCCAGAGACAACTAATTGTCTAGCCACACATGGCCGGATTAGGAAGAGGGAAGGGGACGTATATGAACCTGAGAATCCCCCAGCCCCGTTTGCATGGCAGGAAAATCCCGGGTTGCCATTGCGTCTGAACCAAGCCCGCCACCCTCTCTCTCGCCCTCTCGCTCTCTCCCCTCCCAAACCACGTTATTGTGTGTGTGTGTGTGTGTGTGTGTGTGTGTCTCCTGCACCCCCGACCGTTGCAACTAACCCCCTGGGCCGCTTTCCCCAGCACTCTTGCTTGTAAGCAAGGCCTCCTAAGTAGCGCCATTACTCCAGGAGATGAACTTGCCAAAGCCAAGCTGCGGCACCTTCTCCGGATTTCCTTTCCTCGTGGGCATTTTTGTAAGCAGAGGCAGGAGGAGAGGCCGCAGGCGTACAGTTCAGCCGTAACATGTCAAGGTTCTTCTGTGCTCCGTAGGCATTCTGTGGGGCCAAGGTTGGGGCAGGCTTCTCCACACACACACCCTCGCTTTGTTCAGCTCCGGTTTTTCCCTCCGCAGGCTGGGCAGACGGCCCTGATGCTGGCCGTCAGCCACGGGCGTCAGGACATGGTGCGCGCCCTTCTGGCCAGCAGAGCAGACGTCAATGTGCAAGACGATGACGGGTCCACGGCGCTGATGTGCGCCTGTGAGCATGGCCACGCTGAGATTGTCCGCCTGCTGCTGGCCACCGTGGGCTGTGACGTCACCCTGGCAGACCAGGTGAGTTCTGCCCGCAGCTGCCTGCCAGAGGAGGAGGAGGAGGTCCCCCCCCCCCGGGGCTCCCGCTTCAGGGCCTTGGTCCAGGGAAGGCCTCCCTGCCTGTGCTGGAGAATGAGAAATGGGAACCGATCTCCCACACACACACGTGTATTGATGCACCCGCACTGGGGCCTTAAGAGGAGCGTGTCAGTCGAACGGGACTTAGTCTGGGGCCAGATTCTACGCTCGACCATGTGCAGTGATAATAGGAGACTGCCTTTGAGCATGTGCAGAGTGCCTTTCCCTTGCCACTGTGGGATCACAGCACATCTCGCTGCCTTTTGGCAGGCTTAAGCCTCAGGACTCAATAAGATGAGGCCTTTTCATGGGCACAGGCAGGCCCCTCTCGCCTTCCGAAGGTCTTGCTCCGTGGAGGCCTCCTTCACTGAAGACTGGAACAGGCGTCCCCTGGCCTCTGGAGCCTTGCGGGCCCTTTTGGGATTCTGAGAGGGAGGGAAGGAGGCCACCTGGGGATGCCAGCCTCCAGGTGGGACCTGGGGATGCCCCAGAATCACGGCTCATCCCTGGACTACAGTCTGGGGGGCAAGGGATGCTCTGTGTTCTTGGTGTTTTTTTGGGGGGTGACAACAGTGGGAGGGGCTTCTGGTGTCCTCCTGGCCCCACTGGGGGGCCTCCTGATGGCCACTGTGTGACCCAGAGTGTTGGACTGGGTGGGCCACTGGCCTGATCCAACACGGGCTTCTCTTCTGTTCTGATGGGATCAGTTCCCCCGGGGGAAGACGGAGGCCTCGGAGGGTGGGCAGTGTGGCCTATTCCGTCCCCACGGAGGTCGGTGTCCCTCTGTGTCCTCCCCGGGCTCCGCCCCCAGAACTCCGGGAGTTTCCCAACCCAGCTCTGGCACCCTTACCCCCCCCTCCCCATCCCCCACCGGTGGCCAGGGGGGACCTGACAGCCCCAGCGGAGGCCCCACCCCCACCCCCAAGCGACTGCTGCCATCACGGGAGGGGACGCCCATCAAGCGGTGACCTCCGTTCCGATGCACGGTGGAAACCCTCCAGCCCCCGTAGGTGCCACGTGGCGGTGAGCTTTCCTCCTTGTCTCTTGCAGGACGGCAGCACAGCTCTTTCCATCGCCCTGGAGGCAGGGCAGAGCGACATAGCCCTCATGCTCCACGCGCACCTGAACAGACCCACCTCTCCGGTGAGTTGCCAGGGAGCTCCAGGGCAGAGGCCGTGGGTGTCTTCGGGCAGCAGAAATGCCACGGAGTGTGTGTGTGTGTGTGTGCGGGGGGGGGAGGGTGCTGAAACCAAAACAGGGCAGGAGTTTAGCACCACCTTTCCTTCACTGATGTGGGAGGCGGAATGTTTCTCAGTCCTACGTCCAACACCACCACCCCCCGCCCCGGTGCCCCCCTAAGAACACTGTCCTGGGGGTGAGCCCCGCCGAAGGGGCTGGAGGAGAAGTCTGAAGAGTCCTGCCTAGGGTTGCTCTCTCTAGCGGCTTCTCCGGACAGCACCAGCGCGCCGGGTTCTGCCTCATCTTGCCTGCCCTCCTCCTCCACCGGGCAAACCGAGAATGTCCTTTCCATAGGCGTGAGCGCTGGGGGGGGGGGGAACCTGGGAGTCTTGAAGTGGGGCGGCGAAGGGAAGGCGTGGGGGAAAGATCCCGCTCGCCCAATAAGGCAGGGAAAGGAACGGAACGGATTTAAGACTAATCGTGGAAATGCCCTTTTCAGGGGACTTCGAAAGAAGAGGGGCCCGGAGAGGCCACGGAGAGGGCCCGCGATGATGCTCAGTAGCGCAGGCCGGCCTGGCAGAACTTCTCTTGAGTGCCAGGGAGAGGTTTCTCCCACTCTGCTTGGAGGAGAAGGGCTTGCGAGCCGCTCAAGAAGCAAGGAGGCAGACCCCTCCTGGTACGTCCCGCAGGTGCGCTGGGTTCCTGAGGACAGCTGTGGTCTCCTGGCCTTCCCCCACCCCCCACCCCGCCAGAC